GCCTGCACTCATCCTGATCTCATTCAAGTTTATATTGAGAGAATTTGATTCATTGTGTGAATCTAAGCTTTGCTTGAAGCAGTGTTCATTGACCTTAACGCTTCGCAATGTTGCGGAGCCTTTTTTTTCTAGCAGAAAATTCATTTTAGCGTTGTGAAATTCACCATGAAATCTTACTGATCTCGGATGAGTGCATAATTGGTTGTCCTCATGTTCGCGAATACGGTTATGTTCTCTCGCATATTCAAGCATTTTTTGATATTGTTCCGTGTTCAGTGCGTATAAAATATGTGAATGCTGGTCGATTTCTCATTGAAATAACACAAAAATAACGCATCAATTGAACAAAATAGCATCGCTGAGAATGCTTTAGAGAATTCGAACGCTATTCGCTGAATGAAAATTTTAATCAGCTACAGCCAATGTCAAATAGGGGTTGGCTATTGGTAGCGGTCGGTTAGAAACTGTTTCTTATGTGCTGATCGAATATGATCGATGGCGCGATCGAAGCAAACTTCAGCATTTACCTATTCCACTTATAATAATTCTCCCTTGTGACTGATAGATAATTTGTAGGGCATCATTTAGTGATATATGAGCATTTATTACAGTACATAATACGCAATTAAATAAAGTAAAGGAGAAATACTGATGCGAGGCAGTCTTGTTGAGGTAAGATAAATCATCTGAAAGACATTCGTGCATAATATGAGAACGAGTAACCGATACTCTTCTCAAAAAGAGATGATAATAATAATGATAATAGTAATGAAGAATTTACCAAGCTCAAGCAAATTACTAAAGATGTTATGGATCATAATATAATGGAAAGTAATAAGATGTTCGTATGCTAGTTGCAGTGATATCATTATTAGGATTTATATCCCAACAGTGCAAGAATAGCGTACGGTATGCATCTGCAATCATGTGCGACACCAACGCCAAAGTCCCTGCATCCACCTTTACAAAGATTCAAACTATCGAAACATCTATTTCGTGTCGCATCAAATCCACATCCGTTTACCTTCAACAAGAAATATTCTACTTCAGTCGCATCGGTTGCAACAAGCAGAATTGGTTATCATTTAATGTCAAATGTACATCAATCTTCCTTGTAACTAGACTGATCTCTAATGGTCAAGTGAATATAATCTAGACGGTGATGGTTATTACATTAAAAAATCATGGTTATTGCGTAAATCATCAATTCAAGTAATACTTAACAGTTAACTTTTAAGCAAACATGACGGACTTTCACTATTTCGCAAATGTTAATACTAATCCGTTGAAAGTTCTCGCGAAGCTTAAAAGCTTAAAACGATCCTTCAATCGCTGAGAATTGCCCTGAACTCACCTGGAAATTGTCTTTGTCGTTCAGTAAATTAGCAATGTTTGCGCTCATCGAATCGGGTCCATACATGCCACCTCCATACGGGTAATTGCCCATTGTCATTGATCCAAAACGGCTACGTGGGAAGTTTAGGCCAGCCGATGAAGAGAGTGTAGTGGACGGGGGATAGTTGATGTTGTTGTATGAAGTAGATGAGGGATAGTTGAGGTTGTTGTATGAACTAGATGAGGGATAGTTGAGGTTGTTGTATGGATCGATACCCGAAGGTCCTAAAAAGAACAGATTCATGCCCACAAATATTATCAAGAAGATAATGAACATCAATGTGATGGTATATTGTGTACTGAAATGGTTAAATTACTGGATGCAATAATTATTGGGTAGGATGGAAGATGAAA